AAATTCGTAACGAACCAAAACAGTAAACTGAATAAACTGAAAAATAAAGTAAAATAATAATAATAATAAGTTGCGGAGATTTGTTTGCGCCAAGTGTTGGGCGCATACAAACTGAGTGGACAATTTGAAGATGACTACGTTGTTTTTACAATAATTTATTACCGCGAATTCGGCAACCGAACAACGCCAACAACCACACACATACACGCACGCACTTGCAAGCATATGGAAATATCTTCGCTGGGTGAAATATTTGACTTTCGGCTGAGCTGCTCACTTGCGCCAGTTAAATGTTATACTTAAGTAGGTGCAACGCCACTCATGCATGCATACAAACAAGCATGCATATGTGCAAACGTGTGTGCGTTCGTATAACTGTAAGTATATTCATTTATTTTGCAAGAGAACAGCATTTGCGAACGAGATTACGTAAAAAAAATACGAAAAAATCTGGTTACAATCCCGCTAAAATGCGTTTAATATGGCTTAAATGCGATGAGGCCGTTAGGCGCTGATTTTTTAAGACAAAGAATAATTGCTGCGCGCAGGAGACAGTAAAGAAACGCGCATATGGCGAATGCATAAAAAAGCAGAGCGCAAAAACGCTGATACAAATATTAATAAGGCATTTTATTGTGGCCGTTCCGCTGCTGTAGAGCCTCTTCAACAGCTTCAAGACGAAGCTGATGAAGTAGATATTTGACATTTTTCGGGGTGAAAAGAGTTCTCTGTAATTTGATGAGTTCATCGCCACTTCACCGCGCTACGGGGCTCCTGATGTGAACGAAAGTCAAAAAGTCTTCGTACACTTACAGTTATACGGAACTACACGGAGGAATATACCCATGCCTGCAACAATTTGCACCCTATAGGACTCCAAACAAAGAATGTTCAACTTCTAGCTTATGATATATTTAAGCAAGGAGCATCTAAAACCTCCATCCCATAAGCGTCAAAGGACAAAACATGTTTTAGAAAATTTGATTGGATCGACACTTTCGTATAGCGACAAGTAGCTGTAAAATATTGTACAGTAATTGTAAACGAAGCCTTTCCTTTCCCTCTATTCGTTTATGACGTCACGTATTAATGTATTTTTCTGTCAAACGCGCTCCAAAAAAGTCTCTGTTATTATCACTCATAATATAACCACAGAACCTATGACTTGAATATATATGATCTGAGCTGATCAAATTTTACTGACAAAAACCAACATTTCCACGTATTTTAATTTTTATTACCGCCTTCAAAAAGGCCCTTAAACCAATATAAGCTTGCCAACGCTGGGTTAGATTTTCTAAAATTTTTGTAAACTTCGGCTGAGTTTCAGTTTCGTAAACAGAAAAACGTCACATGAAGACAAATTTACCGAATACGATGGCTGAACTATGACTCTCGTTTCGTGTTTGGTGAAAAAGTCACCTAGATATCTACACATTAAGTGGTGAAAAATAAACGAATATTTAACAAGTAAGGAAGGGCTAAGTTCGGGTGTCACCGAACATTTTGTACTCTCGCATGATAAAGTGATAATCGAGATTTCAGGCGTGGTTGTAAACCGATTTCACCCATATTTGGTGCATGTCATCAGGGTGTTAAGAAAATATTATATACCGAATTTCATTGAAATCGGTGGAGTACTTCCTGAGATATAATTTTTGGTCCATAAGTGGGCGACACCACGCCCATTTTCAATTTTTAAAAAAGCCTGGATGCAACTTCCTTCTGACATTTCTTCCATAAAATTTAGTGTTTCTGTCGTTTTTGTTAGTCGGTTAACGCACTTTTAGTGATTTTCAACAAAACCTTTGTATGGGAGGTGGGCGTGGTTATTATCCGATTTCTTCCATTTTT